TTAGTTGTTGTCGACGCTCATGCCGCGGCGGAGGCGGGCGAAGTCCTCGAAGACGATGTCCTCGCCTTCCTTCGTCTCGGTCTTGGTTGGGGCGCTGACGTTGTCTGTGGGTGTGAGAAGGGGGGGTTAAGATATTTTTTTGCGCATTATGGTTATTCCAGAAAGAAGGAAGGAGAGGTGAGGTAGGTGAGGAGATACTCTATCTCTAAGTATTTCTCAAAATGATAAAGAACAAGTTTTTCCCCCAAGGTGTGAATATGACTTACAGCGAGAACTTATTGAGAAAGAAATAAACCTATAAACCAAACCGAAATCATCCCCTTTCAGAACCCACAGACCTTTCAAAGAACCCCCCCCCTTAGAAAACCTCAAAAACAAACTCAAAAAAAAAAAAAAAGAACCCAAGACGCTCACCCGTGATTGGATGAGTGAGCTTGAAGGGCAGGTCAGCCATCAGCTCCCCACCGAGGGCGCCGCAGTTCAGACGGACGCGGACGGAGTAGGAGACGATGATACCCAGGGCGTCGTTGGGGTTCTTGCCCTCGCCAACCATGGTGGAAGAGGCCAGGTTGGCGTCGGTGTCCTGAGGGAGGGAGCCACGGTTAAGGGATTGATTATTTAATATCATCTGCTATTTTAATATTAACGGTCATTAGCGGCGAGCACCTTGTTAGACTGAAATATCAAAACACTTAAAATGTTCAAAATCTATCGATAAATGTCATAAATACCCAAGGTTAAGGGTAGGTTTTCGGGCCAATGTTAAGGTATCGGGAAAGGGAAACTTTTTCTCCCAATTTTATGATGATAATGATGTTGTAATTCATCATGATATTGACCCTGACTGAGGACTGATGGTGCTCATGAAAGTGGTAATAATGATAATAATAATGAATATATTACTGATGATGGGAAGACTAATGGCGATAATGATGAGAGTAATAATAATAGTAATAATCATGATGAGAGTAATAATAATAGTAATAGTTATGATGATAGTAAAAATAATAATGATGATAAAAAAATGATAATGATTATAATGATTATGATAATACTAAGAACAATAATAATTATGATAATAATGAGGATAATGACAATAATGAGGATAATGATAATATAATAATAATGATAATAATGAGGATAATGATAATAATGAGGATAATGATAATATTAATGATAATGATAATAATAATAATAGCGATAATGATAACAATAATAAAGACAATGGTAATTATGATGGTAATGATAATGATCATATCAATGATGATGATGGTGATGTAGATGGTGATAATAAAATAGTAGAAATTAAGATGATAATGATGATGATAATGATAATAATAATAGTGAAAATAATATTGATAATAATAGTGAAAATAATAATGATAATAATAATAGTGAAAATAATAATGATAATAATAATAGTGAAAATAATAATGATAATAATAATAGTGAAAATAATAATGATAATAATAATAATGAAAATAATAATGATAATAATAATAGTGAAAATAATAATGATAATAATGATAATGGTTATAATGATAATGATAATAATGATAATAGTTATAATGATAATGATAATGGTTATAATGATAATGATAATGGTTATAATGATAAGGATAATAATGATAATGGTTATAATGATAATGATAATGGTGTGAAAATAATAATGATAATAATAATAATAGTGAAAATAATAATGATAATAATAATAGTGAAAATAATAATGATAATAATAATAATGAAAATAATAATGATAATAATAATAATAGTGAAAATAATAATGATAATAGTTATAATGATAATGATAATAATGATAATAATAATAATGATAATAGTTATAATGATAATGATAATGGTTATAATGATAATGATAATGGTTATAATGATAAGGATAATAATGATAATGGTTATAATGATAATGATAATGGTTATAATGATAATGATAATGGTTATAATGATAAGGATAATAATGATAATGGTTATAATGATAATGATAATGATAATAATGACAATAACAACAATAATAATAATAGTAATGATAATAATGATGATAATAGATATAATGATAATAATAATAATGATAATAATGATAATAATAATAATAATAATAATAATAATAATAATAACAATAATAATAATAATAATAATAATAATAATAATGATAAGAAGAATGATAGTAAGAATAATGGTACTCTACCTTGAGCTTGCCGTCGAGAGCAATGCCGTATCTGTTCTTATTGGTTGTGGCAAGAGGGTTCAGATTGAAAGTCTTGTTCAATGTTGTGCCCGGGGTGATAGGGCAGCCCTCCTTGGATTCGACGGCAGCCACCTGAACAAGGGAAAAGGAGGTGGTTAGTGGTTACAGGGGGATTGGGTAGTTATGGGTGGTTTGGTGGTTAGGTGTGGGAGGTCCTTTTGGTGTGGTATTGTTGAGGGCGTTAGGTCTGTTTTCTTTTTTTTCTTATCTCTCTTGGTTATTGGATATAAGGCAACGAGGCTTCTGTGACCATTTGATTTTGCTTTGTGGATAAGTCGTTTGTGTGATTTACGAGTCAGCGATTGTCGAGATTATCATTGTTTGTCATCAACTCAGGAGGACGGGTCAGTTTACCTCGCGAGTGATGTGGCTGTTGGTCATGGTGACCTCGATGTGCTGCACGACGGAGCACTTGATGTTCTTCACGGACTTCTTGCTGCCGTTGGTGACGCTGATGTTAGGGATGATGGTTTCGCCATGGTAGTAGACGTCCTTGTCGAGGTTGACCTCCATGTTGAGTTTCCCAGGGGAGAGGGTGAAGCCCTTGGAAACAAGGGTGCTTGGCTGGCGCCTGTTGCCGCCGACAGGACAGTATTGGACCTTCCTGACGGCGAGGTTGACGGAGTTTCGCTTGTGGGGCTTCTCGTCAGCGCTCTCTCCGACGTACACCTTCAGATCGTAGATGACTCCCAGAGGCTTGATCTGAAGGGCGTGACACAGGAGTAATAGAGAACTAAAAACAACCTTAACCTCAAGCCCGCTTTATCGCATTTGTATTTCATTATCAATCCACACCCTCTTTACTAAACGAAACGGGCCAGAGCACTCACCGCATCCTCCGTCCCGGGGTGGAGCTGGACGGAGCAGGGAGCGTTCGCCGGGAGAACCACGGCGAAGGGGTAGGCATTGGCCCCGAGCTTCTTCAGGAGGCGATCCTGGACGGGAGTCAGCTGGGGCGTCTCGCTGTTGGGGTAGATCTGCTGCGAGGCGAGTTGCATCTCCTTGCTGAAGTGCAGGCCCATGACCTCATCCTCTTCGCGACCGAAACGGTACGTAACCGTGACCTGGGAAGGAAGAGATTGAATAAGAGCGCGAAGGAAAATAATCGAGGCATGCAATACGTATAACAATAATACTCTCGACCCTTTTTAAAGCACCATGCATATACGACAAAATATGGCAATTCAAAACTCCCATGGGCAGATACTCACGGTCGCGTAGACCTTGCGGCCTCGAAGGTAGTCATTGTCGCAGACTACGATGCCATCGACGGGCTCGGTGGTGCTGGTGTTGTCTACGAAGTCTCGACGACCGAGATAGACGGTGAGTTTACCTGGGGAGGAATGGCAGTTGGTTCGGAGGCGTGGATTGTATACTGGTGTTCATCATGCCATCTTTTAAGCTGTATAATTATGAATAATCGATTCTGTTTTGCAAGGCTCACATTTTTTTCTAGATTCGATAACTGTTTTAGTTCACATCTCTTCTAGATATATCGATGCCAAGAATGAATTCTAGTCACGATTCATGATTTATGCAATGGACATTGTAATAAACAAGATTTCTAAGCCACGGGTATGATATATATTTCCCTACTTGAAATTATTTTAAAAACCGTGTCTCAAAGGAATACAGATCAAATGATGATATGCAAAGGCTATAGTTAACATTTTCTTAAAAAAATATCACATCGCACTTGACTCAATTTAAAATTTGGATTGTGAGTCGAGAATCTAATAAAAAAAAACACGTAAAACAAAATCCAAATTGAAAGCAATCAGCCCTCTTAACTCAGCCCCAGACGAGACGCACGAATATATCCTTAAGAGACGGAAAGCTCCGGAGATCACAGCCCTTCAGAACAACATGGGCTACGCAAGAGACAGTCCAACGTACCATTAGGGGCGGTCTTCTTGAAGACTTTCACGGCGTTCACCATCGAAGTAAGTTTGGGTTTTCCTCGGAGGAGAGAGATAAATTCACACACAGAGAGTAGCTGTTTGCTCGGCGATAAACGGAGGCAGGATGGCTGGCAAATTCGCACTCCCGCCTATATACTTGCTTCAGATAATCTTATTAGTAAGAATATTTGCGAGTCCCCACCCTCCGGGGGCGGGTTCTCCTCGCAAGGGGAAGGGCCTAATGCGATTACCGACAGGCACACTTCCACGTGTTCGCTCTGACGTAAGCATTTTTCATTTGCAGATTCAATGGACGTGGCCTAAGGAATTGCGTCACGGGGAAGGTAGAGTGTTGTTGTCGAGGGTCACTTTTGAGTTTGATGTTTCCTGAAAAAAACACTCGCTAAAATTTAGATATTAGCAACAGATTACATATAGGTATTGAATAGAAAAAAATATCAATACAGTACAATAACTATATAAAGATGCATACACTCACAGATATGAATATGTATGTATATATATATATATATATATATATGTATATATATGTATATATATATATATATGTGTGTGTGTGTGTGTGTGTGTGTGTGTGTGTGTGTGTGTGTTTGTGGGTGGGTGTGCATGTATATATATATGTATATATATAAAATACACATACGCACACACACACATACACATACACACACGCATACACATATGTACATATATATACATACATAGATACATTATATATATATATGCATGTGCACACACACACATACCAATATATATTTATATGTATATATATATCTATCTGTCTATCTATCTATCTATATCTCTATATTTATACATATATATATATATATAT